TAAGCAGTAGTCATCAATAATGGTTCTTCAGCATATCAAGATCTTATTTACAGAGTCCACACCGTTTTCTTATACATAAGACCACCCCATCTAAAACCCTCCCCAAAAAAATGTTTCTGAAAGAGAGTACTCACATGTTACACTAAGATGCTTTATGCTAGCAATAAAACACCTGCCTTGAAATTGATTTATCATTCAATACTGGCAGCATGATATCATTAACAGATTGAGCATTTGTGATTAACCTTTTCTACAAGAATGATGAATCCACAAGTATTGCATTGGAAAAGTTTTGTACGGAAAAAGGATGGAGGATGAAAAAACGGCCTATTTCATTGAACGGAATCCTGAATTTAGTGAGATATTTTGAAGAAATGAAGAATTTGGAGGTTCATCCATGACATGGCACATCACCCTTGAGAGCAGACTGTGCCCACATTATAAAAAAGTGTCATAGAAAATTGATAGCCAAAATATTAAAGAGCAGTAGCTGTGCTTGTTAAGCTGAGATAATAAAATGCATTCCAGAATCATCAATCCAACGTATTCTGCAGTGAATCTTCAGAATCTGTATCAAAATACCAGCACTTCACTAGTTTTTACTGGCAGATACAGATAAAAGACAAAACTCATCTGCAAAATGTCAAACTCTCATGGCTACCTGGCCAAGCCACTGTAATCTCATGTGACTGTTTCGTATGGTGTCAGCATGTCTTTCATTCTGGGCCCTTGCCTTTTTAAAAAACTTTTACTGTATTCAGCTGGAAAATCTGTACAAACACTGCAGAATGATATCTTACACTTTTGAGTAAACATGTTGTGCCTGCACTGCAGGACACAAGCATTACCTGCCATCACCTTCATGCAGGATGGTTCTCTACCCCCCCTTGCACATGAAGTCAAGATTTTTCTATTGAAAACCTTCACTGAAAACAAAGTCATCAATCAAGGCAATATGTTTAAATAGCCATTGCAATTAACAGATCCGATCCTGGCAGATTTTTAGTTATAAGGGTACTTACCCATGTAGGACAGCAATGTCGTAACGACGTAGCAATATGTAGTCTTTAAGACACCCAGATGTCTGTGAACATCCACTGTTTTGCAACCGTTGTGTCTTTACAGACGAGGTTTTTGTCGCACAGACATCATTATTGCGTCTTTCGTAGGTGATATTTTGGTTGTGAAAGCATTGTATCATGACGCCTAAATGTTCGCAAAATTCCCCCCCTTCTTGCAACAGTTCTGAAAATGTCGTTATTATGTCCTTGTGTTACGTATTGATTTAAGCAGAAAAATAAGCTTAATAATCAATATATTTTTCTTCTTTTTTAAAAGTTTGTATTCCTTGTATTTATCTAATGTTTAAATATTTTATTTCCTGAAAACCAGAAGATAATATAATTTTTTTCTCTTTAGACTAAATATGCATAATTAATAATAGCCTCAATTATTTTCAGGACTTTAAACTATAGTAATTTCTCTTTATAATTAATAATAGTTTTAATTATTTTCAGTACTTTAAACTATAGTTTTTAAATAACTTAAATTCTAAGTTACGATTATTTAAGAATTCATCAATTTTTCCCCTTAAGTGAGAGTAATTATGCGAATGGTTATTATAAATATATAACAGTAATAGTAGGTTTTAAGTAAATAAAACTCAATTAGATATAAATAAAAGTAAAGATACATAGGTGGGTAAAAAAAAGAGCGTTTCTGATAACAGCATTATGACATTGATTTCTGTTAAATCTCAGAGGCATTGAAAACTGCCCGTCATGATAAATTAGGAAGTGGTTCTTAAGGAAACATAATCAGTATTTTCCCTGAAGTCAAGTATAAATTTATTCGCTTTTCACAGTAAAAAATATAACCATTAACTTCTATATGTCCAAGATAAGCAAATGAAAGACAGTATAAAGTAGTTAATAAATGTGATCAAAAAATATTCCATACAAAAATACACCTAAATCTAATAACTTCCCATTTTCATATCTAAACAGAAATAATAACCTTACAAACAACATACAAGACAGCACTATTTAAGAAAAAAATCATGCACTAGTAGTGTTTGAAAATATAAATAGCAGTAGGAAGGTAACAGAACTAAAATGTATAATTAATAAAAAAAATATTTTTGTTTTTTAAATAGTAAGCAATTAAATCGCAATAATTATGGATTGCAGTATTTAATAGTAATGCTGATGTTTCTTAACACCATTTCTTTCGATCATATGTAAATGTATTTACCTATTTTTAGTTTCTACATTTTAGAATAGTGCTGGATTACAATGATCACTTGAGGCACTTTTTATAATCAGTAACTTTCCTTTTGATACTGTACAGAAATAATTTAAATAATATAGTATACGACAGTAAGTAAGCTAAGTACGTTAAAGTAAGCTCTTCATTAAATAGCACACGATGAAACATTTTGTTTCTATTTATTATGAATTTCTTTGTTATCACAAGCACATAAAATTAAGCGAAGAATATACTTAAAATATGAATATGCTATACTTAAGACTTACTTAATATACTTAATTAAGTATAATGAATATACTTAAATTTAAAAAAAGAACAAAACCTAATTTCCAACACTCATTTATTGAGATAATCTAATAGACATGCATAATGGCAATATTTAAAAAAAAAAAAAAAACTTGAATTACACAATGTTTGGAAGAACAGATACCAAATGACAAGTAATAAAACTGCAATTTGCAATCAATAAAAAAAGTTATATTTAGTGTTTTTCAATACTACACAATTAAGTATGGCATAATTATAGATTACAACATTTCATAGTAATGCTAATGTTTCCTTTAACACTATTTTTTCGATTAAATGCGCAAAGTCTGAGCACCAACCCGTATAATGAACACAATCAATTAATATGAATGATATATGCTATAGCACTTAAAACGTTAAAAGAGAATCCGTGTGTCCAAATATTGCACCGCTGGAGCCACTAAAGACTGGAAAACCACAATATAATTTTAATCATTTAAAGTCATAAATCACCAAAACAGAACACTATTTAACTGTGTAGATGATGTTAGCATACTGCAAGCAGATATTTACAAACAAAATAAGCAGAAATTCAGCATTACCACGAAGATTTCTCAATTCAAAATAAACTGCTACCCTTATATTTTTGTACATTGTTCTCTTTCTGTATTGAAGCTATCCAGTATTTAATTCCAATGGTGAAATACAAAACCGTCAACCTCTTAAACGTCACGCCTGAAATAACCTCGGGCACAGCACTGGTATTCTTAAATGTCAAGCCTGAACATTACTTGGGCTATTTTTTTTTTTTTTTTTGAGTGCATCGTATTGTTATACCCGAATATATATCGTGAGAGGTTTATTTCGGCTTCAATTCAACAGATGGCAGGACTTTACTGAAGGTTTCAAAGGATAGAGGTTAAAATTCAAAGTGTGCATCCCCCCTTTTTTTTTATTGCGAGGCAAACTTTCATTTTTAAAATAAAAAAAATTGACAATTTATGCACCCAAATCGTCAAAATAACTTGACAGTTAAAAGGTTAAAAAAACATTCCTGAAAATAAGATGTGTGCCTCTCTGCCTGTTTATTTGTTACATCATCTCTCAGGAACGACTGGGTCCCAGGCTTAACAGAGCATACCGTAGGATTCATCAGCTCCGTGGCTCGCCATTTTGACAACTGGCGTGACATGTAACGCTGATGAACTATGAAAAAGATGCTAAAACAACCACATCTAAAAGCGGTTATATCATGACGTTTCAGCGACGTCGACAAATTGCCAAGATGCAACAGCAAATACTTTGCGTCTTCGCAACACTGTAAAGATGTCGTAAAAGTTACCACTACCACTTTGCAAACTCTCAGACCAGTTGTTTGCAACGTCGTTACAATGTTGCCATGCTACTTGGGTAAAGTCTCAAATACCAGTGCTCTCCAGCCACTTGTGGAACTGCCACATCGACATCAATATGCTATACTCAGCTGTATTAATGGGCATAATGAAACACTTCATAACATAATAGCTTATGCGGGTGATCATGTATAATACCCTTCACTTTACAATAAAAGCACAGTGTCATTCATTGTGATCTGTTTCATTGTCTATTTGTGTTTGCTTTCTATGCATAAACCTTCTCAGTATGATGTGTGGGCCCCTCTTTTGGTTACTTTGGGTTCATTTTTTAAATACATGGAAAAAAATCCAATGCTCCTCTGATCATATTCATACAAACTGTAATTTTTTCAAGTATTATTATTATTATTATTATTATTATTTTTAAGTTTGCTAGGATTTATGACGAGCACTGTCTATAACTACAATGATTGTGAAAATAACGGTTATATAAGTACTTCTGTGAACACAGTTTATTTTCATGGTAATTACCAGTTTTACATTAAACTAATGTCCATCCAATAGTCATAAAAAATGAATTATGAAAAGTACAACTGGAATAATTTAACTCCATGGGCATTCATAGAATGCATCTTATGAAGCAAATGATACATAAATTTGTTATGAATGAGCTGATATCCAATTTCAGAAATCCCATACTTCAATGCTTTTAAACAGCAGTGACAGTCCCCTGATAATTTTCTTCAAAGAACAATTAAATTTACCTTAGGATTCACTTCTGTCTTGATAGGTGGTTTGTTTTCAGAAGAAATAGGTTATAAAAAGTATATTAAGTGACAATATATCAGACTGCAGACATGTTCATGGATAGTTCAGTCCTTTACTTCCTAAAAACTTTTCAGTCCTATATAGAATCTGAGAAAATTTTACTCACAATGTGAAATATGTATTTAACTTTATGTATTCATGGAATGAAAAATGTTTTAAAAAATAGAAAAGGCTGGCTTTCAGATTTACTAACAACAATGTAAATTTTCTGTTTCATTCACCTAATTATCATTAAAGTAATTATGGTTCTATGGCATTAGAGAATACTATAAAGAAATGCTTAATCTAATAATATAAATGTACCTCATTAACAAGTGTTGTCTGCACTTCTGAACAATGGTTACATGATGCTATAGCTGCAATCAATACTCTTGCTAATGCTGGTGTTTCTTTATCTCCTGCAGTCTGACTGCTATGCAGTAGGTTGTCCAAAATAAAAGCAAGAGCTGTGCAGTCCTTAAATGAAACCACATAAATTAATACATAGTCTTCATTTCACTAAGTATTCACATATTAACAGCACCAAAGCAAATACTGAAATATGGAAAACAAGAAGGTTCTTGTGGAAAATATCAAGTGTTTCAGAAAGGTGATGCCATTTTAAAAACCCCAAACTAATTTTATAATGAAAAACTATGGTTATTGAACTATTTATAATATGATTTTGATATAAAATATATGAATACTTCATGAGATATTTTAAATTTTATGTCCTTTAGCTAACTTCCTTTTGCAGCTTTCAATTTTACACTGAAAAATTCCCAATAAGGATGAAAAGCTTTAAATTTGCAAACATATTTTAAACAATATGAAAATAAAATTTATTTATTGATGTAATTTACTGCTTTAATGATATCATTGCAGATGTAACACAAAATTAAATACAAGTATTAAATGATTAAACATTGGTTAAAGTTACACACAGTTGTCCTCTAGACATTTAGAGCAGAAGACACAATTTAGGTCAAATAAAATTTAACAAGAAAAATTACACACAAATTCATCAGGTATGGGAGATTGAACATGAAAAATTTTATAAAATATTCCAAAAATTAAGGAAATTTAAATAAACTAAAATAAAATTTAAAAACAAATATCCTGAAAATCCCAAAGGGTATAAAAACAGAATTAGGATTTCATTAATTTAATAAATTTCATTTACTACTCGGAAATATTTTCCTAAGGAGATTTTATTAGTAGAAGCTAAAAATAACAAAAAAAGAAAAAGAGAGAGATAGAGAGAGAGATTTGTTGATCTACCATAAGACAAAGAAATATGATGAAAAATCAAGAATCTCCTTGTAATAATGGAAGAGTTAGTAGCTATGTAACAATACTTAAAATATTCAATCAAAAAAGCAGAATGAACAAACAAACAAACAATTTATTGCTAAGCACATCTTCTTTAGAACTCTAAGCATTGCATGGAAGAATGCTTTTCATGGAAATTGGAGCATTTCAACAACAGGAGAATGGTAGGGCTTGGTTTTTTTTTAATCTCAGAGTAAATGCTAGATCATTTATGAGCTCCAAAACTTTCATAGGAAAAGGGGTAAATCAAGAGATTTTACAAATGTCAGAAGCATTTTTTAGAAATTAAAATTAGTGGAGAAATTGCACCAGCAATATTTTAACCTTGAAATGAACATTAGGATTTTTATTACAGCACTGAACTCGTATGATCGACTTCCCTTCTATTAACGTACAGGATATGCTCTCTTAGAGTGAATTTTCAAGATTAATTATGAAAGAAAGTTGACTATTCTGCCTTTTTACACAAGAGAATTTCAGTATGTTGATTGGTTTGAAGATATAAAAAATCGTACTGCACGAAATGAAGAAGCCGAAAATTTAAGGGTAAATGGGGATATTAGAAACTAAGATGCCTTTTGTGATAATGAAGGTTAAAAGAAACAATGGTCTGGAATGTTTATATGGTGGGGTATTAATCTTGAGAAACACAGAATTCCATTTAAAATATTAAGAGCTTTCAAGAAGATATCAGTGGTGAAAATACATATAAATGCTAAATGAAGAAAAGTGTAAAGGAAAAGGAAAAAACCCACTATGATACAGATTTAATAATCATAGCGTACAGATGTATGGTAGGTATAAATTATTTCAATTTGAGCTCATTCAAGATTAAAATTTCTGGCTAGGCATAAAAGCAAAAATTGTTGACAAATATGCACAAGGCAATCCATTAATTGAAAATTCTGAAAAATCTGCTTTCCTTTTAACATAAAATAAATGTGACAAATCAAGAAAGACTTGCTTTTGCTTGTACAAGACAGATCAAATAAGATATTGTTTCATGATGTGCATTCTTCTGACACACACTGTTGAAAGGATCAAAGCAGCATTCTACAGAAACCTAAATCTTTTAGCCACACATTAAAGTGCACTTTAGTCAAATGGAATACCACTGCATCTTGTTAACAATTTTCTTCCCAATATTCCTACCAGTTTTTGCTAGTCAAACATTCAACAAAAACAGTTTAGACTTTTCATCAGCACAAGCCTTTCCCAGGTTATACCACAAGATGGCTGATATTACAGACCCAAGAATGAAGGCTAAAAGACTATTACATTACCACCTTTTTCATGATTTCAAAATGAACTCAAAAAGATGAGTCTCCACCACCAACTACCGTAACAATCACAGGGTGCACATTTATTTTTGTACTGCACCTCATAATTACTGAATTTAAAGTGGCTGACTAAGAATATGACTTAACATTCCAGACATCTTATTTCAGCTGATTATGACATTATGAAATCCAAGCTTTAGAAGAAAAATATTAGAAGCGCTAAATTTCATGTATCAAACCTTGCGAATAAAATTATTGCAGTGGTGGAAAAGATTTTCAGGTCAGTGGATTGGATTCTGGGAAAACAACTCAAGGACTATTTGCTTACGGGGAGGATTTTTGAACAGAAATTGTCACATATGTACAGTTAACATAAGAAAAGCCATGACACTCCCGCAAAGTGAGCCTGTTTGCTGGGATTTGAACCCAGGTACAAATACTGGTTTTCAATGATTTTAGCACCCAGTCATTATTTTCAAAGATGCTGGACATTGGTGCCTAGAAAGAGAACACTTTGAAATATAATACTATTAATACCTGTAAACCTTTTTTTTTACATTAAATTATTACTTCTCTTAATAAATACTTTTTCTACAAAATGAACTGAGAATAAAAGTACCCAGTATTATATCACTAAGTTTGTTATATATAATGTAAAAATGAAAACAGGTACCTCCGTAACCAATTCAGAAACTCCAACAGGAAAAGAGTAATCCGTAATCATTCTTGCACACTGAGAATATGAACGTACCAATTCAGCAAGTATTCGACATATTCCAGACTTTCTAATTATAGGAATATTTTTCATTGAGCTAGACTCTGATTTACTGTCTTTAGAAGTATCTTTAGTTAATCTGCTACCTTCTCTTGGACTACTGATCGATTCGGTACTATCATTAAATCCATCTACATTTGGAATACTTAATGGTATAACCTGTAAAGAAAATATATATGATTAAATTTGTTATTCAAAACATACTTTTAAGTCAGAATTAATAATAAATCTGTATCAGACCAACGTGTAAAAATACAAAATGAGCATGCAAGAATACTATGTAAATTATTCTCAGTTAAAAAATATATATATATATGCTCTCAAATACTCTACTACATTTTAGTAGCCAATTAAAAAAAATACAAAGCAAAATTTGGAAAATCTTTTGATACAAATTTTCATTAAAAGAGAATAAAATTATGTTACATACTAAACCATCATCATCATCAGTTGGAAGAAGGTCAGTTCCACTAACATCTCTCAGTGGGGATGGCTGATCTGTAGATGGTAAAGTATCAGGATTTGATTCTGGAGAAGCATTTCCTGCAATATAAAAATTTTCAACGATTGAAGAATTTAATTGTTCAAATAACCTTCAGCCCCAAAATATATATAATTATTGAATCCAGAGTTACCAAAATTACATGCTCCTAGAAATATATTTTATTAATTACAATATATGCCAAATGTCTACACAAATTATCAATTAGCTGTTTCTAATGTGAATTATGCTTACTAAAAACATCAGTTTGAGATAATGTTAACAATTCTAACTTCATACCAGCATACTGCTATTTGCATCAAAGAGCTTGCTGTTAACACAGTGTGAAAAACATTTCCTTATATCCTGATACATAACTCCTTTCCTCACAGTTTTCACCATCATTTTAATGATTTTAGTTTTTAAAATTGGAAAGGTAAAATTACACGGTAAAACTGTATTTCTGATTGCAATGGTGAAAAGAACTTAGCTAATGAAAATGTATGATTGCATACATTAATAATAATATTTTACACATTAAAGAAGCAGTTGCATTTCAATACTGTTCACTTTTATATATGGTATATTTCGCAATCAGTCCATAGCTTTTATGTTGCTAACAAATTAAAATACTTTGAGATTTTATGAAAAAAAAAAAAATGTGTGATGGAATAAGATATGAGGAATATGCAAAAGAGCGAAATAAGTGAATAAATATGGTACATGATCCCAAAAACACTTTTAGAGCATGCAGTTAAAAGTGGAATGCACCAAAAGAATACAGTGTATCTCATACATAACTGTTCTTTTAAAATAATAAGAGGGAAATGCTTAGAAACAATTACCATTTTACTGTAAATCATGTATTAATACATTTTTAATTATATCAATTACAAATATAAGGACAAATTACTATTGTAAACTAACACTTTTGAAGATGTTTAATTAATGATTACAGTTTTAAGATGACTGATAGATAAATGAATCCACTTTCACTGCCATCCCTTCATAGAAATGGCAATCTGCCAGGCCACAAAAATGTCTCCAATAAGCAGAAAAAATGGGAAATACATTATTTATATTTCTATGAGAATTGTGTGCAGGCTGATATAAAATCATATACACAAATATTTACACAAAATTATTAAAATTATTATCTAATTATTAAAATTATTATCTAAGACATCTAAATACCATTGAAATTGACATATACTTCACAACTTGGAAACAAAAGTTACAACCAGTTTTTTCCCTCTCATCCAAGATACAATGGTTTCAATATACATATTTATAAGTATTCCAATTTTTTAATAATATAATAATGAACTAGCAATCAGAGAACTAATCTAAATTTATTATTAAGTTCGGTTTTAATTTACATCAAGAAATAACAGATGATAAAAGAATAATTTTTAAAATATTAAGTAAGCAGCAGATTTATTATCAAACAAAATTACATAAAAAGTACAGTAAAAAAAGTGAGGGATAAAATTAGATGCTGCTGAAATCTGCACATTCTTCATATTCCTATCAAGACTTACATTAATGTGAAAAATTTATATTTTTATCACATTATATGGAGTAATGAACTGAGCTATTGCATTCCTAGAATAGCAGACATGTACAATAATTATACTGATATATCCTATTTTGAAAATGAAGTTCAATATGTATGAAATACCAGAGAAAATAAAAATTTAACCCCTTAACTGCTGCGAGAAGCATACAAGATTCACTCCCCAGTGCCACCGTTTTATTACACAGGCACGCATAGTTATGCGATGTATTAGGGAGAAAATAAGAGCAGGTTCTGCTGTCTAAAAACAGTTCACTTTCACAAAATAAAGAATAAAAGAAAAAAATTGAAAATACAAAATTTAATGTTTAGAGTAAAAGTATAATAAAAAAGATGCAAGCATAATACAATATATGTTTGTTTAATAAAACATATCCCAAAAAATGGAGTTCTGACCAATCTATTTTTAGAGCAGTAAAGTGTAATATCAGGTTTCAGTGTTATACCTTGTAATCAGCATACCTAAAAAACCATGTATTTCTTCTGAATTGGTTGGATGCCACAATTTTGTTCTTGAATTTTCCTTTGCAGAATATTGGCTCATATACTGCTCTGCAAAACGGTTAATTTTCAGTAACAATATGAAGCACAAAGAGTTCATCAAAAAATTATTCAAAAAAGATAAGTGGGTTTGAAAAATCTGTTATATCTTTCTTTATTCGTCGCTGTCCTAAAAATGGAAAGCGTGGAGGTGACATACAATTAAAAAAAATAATTTATTCAAACAGAAACACGAGAGCACTAACCGTGCAATCATTAGTCATCACTGTCAGACATATTTGTAAACACCTACAACAAACAGTAAACGAAAACGTAAGACACAGAATAAAAAAAAAACTGTCTTACTCAAACAGAAACACAAAAAACCGAGCAGTCATTACTTTCACCATTTCTGAGAAACAGCCTCCTCTCTGAAATAGTATCCTCTTCCGCATACTCTGTCAAGGTAATTGTGGTGTTGGATTGCAAAGCTCTGCAAATATTTTTGCTGCTAGCACAGCAAATAATACTACTTCGGAAGGGCATATATATACAAACTTGGAGCATTTAACGCATCACCTGAGAAAGGCATATGTATACACCTGTAGTATAATTACCCATAGTAATTAATAATTTAATTTATAAGTTTTCATATTGAAGTAATTTTTAGAATATTTCTAAGAAAGAACTCATGGGCTTTGCCATATCAGAATAACACAAAATGCTCCTCATTGCTCCTAAACATGCAAAAACTTGGACTTGGCATGGCAATCTGGACGTAAATGGCATTATAAAAAAAAGGTGGTGTCCAAAAAAATATATCTAAACTGTATCCGAAAGGAGATATCTTTATCCATAAGGTATGGCATCTTCTTCCACTTCCTAAAGACAAGACTTCGCTAGGTTGCAGATGAATCTTCAACATTAAATGTGACGAATTTGGAAACATTGTTCGTTTTAAAGCTTGTTTGGTGGCTCAGGGTTATCAACAAATTAAATACGATACTACGAGGAACCTACTCTTCTGTAGTCAACTTTTCAGTAATAAGGCTCTTTTTCTCTCTCCTAGTTGCACACCTTGGATGGGCAAATATACAGTGTGACATAAAAAGTGATCTCTAAGCTCCTTTATCTGAGGAAATTTACATGTTCCAACCTCAGGGTTTTATAGAGCAAGATAAAGAAACTATTGTGTGTCATTTAGATAGGGAATTGTATGATCTGCATCAGAGTGAGCGATTATGGTACTACGAGTTAGATAGAACACTATGTAAACCTGGGGTTTACCAATTTTAATTGGTGTAATTGTGTCTATCGATTTAAAGATTTTGTCATTCCGTTGGTTTATGTTGATGACATTGTTGTGTTCGGGAAAAAAGAAGTTCAGGCTATATTAAAAGTTCTGAGCTCGCATTTTGATTTGAAAATTTTGGGTAGAACAAGAAAGCTCTTTAGAGAATAATTTGAATATGAGAACAATAATGAATTCATCAGCAATTGTATATAGAATATATAGAAGACATAGTTAATCAGTTCAAGTCTTTTAAAATATAAATTACCTTCCCTCCAATAGTTAAAGGTGTGAAATACTCAAAGTCCCAGTACACAAGAAGAAATGACGGAGATGAATAATTATCCTTATAGAAATGTTTTAGGATGCCTCTCGTTTCTTTGCAATCGTACTCGTCCGGATATAGCCTATGCTGTTAATATATTTTCTCAGTTTCAAAGCAAACCTGGTAAGTTTCACTGGGAAGGATTACTTAAACTTTTAGGATACATTTCAAATACCAGATACTACAAACTTAAACTGGTATGCAAAGAACTGAAGCTCAATATATATTCAAATTTGGATTTTGCTTCAAGCAGAGACAATATGGTGTCTATTGGCAGACAAACAGCTTTTTTGGGAGAATCACCTGTATCTTGGTGTACATTTAAAGAAAGGGAAGTGACTTTGTCAACTATGGAGGCTGGATTTATCTCCATGACTGAATCAGCAAAAGAATTAGTTTGGTTTAAAAACATTTTGGATGAATGCATTCAGTTTAAGATTGCAAGTAACTATGTTTCAAAACCAATATTGTTTGCGGATAACATGGCTGCTATATGTTTTAAAAAACCACCCATTGAAAACTCAAGGACAAAACATATAGATGTAAAACTATTTTTCATTCGTGATCTATTGAACAGGGAAATTTTTGAACTAGCTTTCCATGTTCTCACCAGAAAAAAATCCTTTTAGACAAAGATTTTTTTAAACCTCTATCAATCAATTCTGGAAATATTACTTAAGAAATGGATTATTAAATATTACAGTTAAATCCATTGCTTTAGTAAGCACAAAAATGTAGTTATACATGTTTCATATTTACAGAGTGATTTGTTATTACATGTGCAAAGTTCTGAGAAGGGTAGGTTAATCAAAGATGAATCGGGAGTAGACAGTAATTCAGTGCCAGAAATGCCTTCATATGCATGCAGAGAACATGAGAAATAAAACAGCAATATGTAACTGTAGAATATTTCATTCAGCAAAATGTAACAATTGTAATATTAAGGGGAGTCACAGAAAATGCTCAGTTGTAGTTAACAGATACAAGGTATCTCTCAGATGACATGAGCAGGTACACAGCTATATGCAGCAACACTCTACTTGATGTCTGGGTGAAAAACATGCACAAAACCTTTTATATGACCTCAAAGAACAATACCCTCAGAAAAAATCTTTGATGAGTCAGGCAAACATATTGTGTTTTGTAATATACCCCATCAGGCAGCATTCCTACAGGCACACAGCAACTTGCAAATTACAATTACCAGCTCCATTTGCTAGATGAATATCTGGTTATTTCACATTTGTAAAACTTCTAACCTATCAAAGGCAGTTGTCAAATCATGGTTTTTCTCCAGAGATTTTAGAGTTCCTCCAACATATACACTATCGGGTTAAGACTGTGTTACTGTCTGATCGCAATTCAAATTTTAATTTTGTTACAGAGACTGGCTTTTCAATCTCTTAGATATAAGTTCAGGGAATCTGTTTTCTGATCAAAAATCTCATTCCTAGACATGAAGTTGACTCAGTTTGTAAAGCAAACATATACAGCAAAATGAAATAGCCCACACAGCATTAGAAAATGTCACCTTTAATGAAAGACGGTGTTATGGTATTAGGGAAGGGATTATTAAGTAGCCACATTTTCTTCCACACATTTGATAGAGAATTTATGTCTGCTCACAAGTATTGAGATAAAGTCAATTTTCAAACACATTTTTAAAGGTTTATATGGATCCACCATTGTTACTGATAGAAGCATCTACACTGAGTAAATATGGTTGAATTTTCTTAAATACAGTCAATGCATGAATAAACAGGTTCGCCAAATCTCAATAGCTGAAACAAAACAAACAACAAAACTGGGTTCAGGTGTATGGACACATTCAAATAATCTTAATAACTTGAAATCATTTATGCCTATTAACATGCACATACAGAATTAGAAACATGCAACATTTAGTTCTAAAATTAATATATAATAATCTTACCTTCGTCAGGTAGCTCAAGAGGTTTTGCTGTCAAAGCATTCAGAAGAACATATATTAAATTATTTGCAACTTCAGCATTATATGGATAATCAGGTGCATAAATCTGGGACTTGAGAGGACAAGACTTGAGCATCTGAACTGAATAACTGTTGTTATATCTATCATCCTCATCTTTATTAAAAATTATAAAAAAAAATTAATTTTACTGAAATTCAGATAAAACCTATTTTGATCAAAAAAGTTGGGAAAACATACAACACATCAATTAATTTCTAAAAATATAAAACACAACTTGAAGCACAAATAAAATAACTGCATCAGGGATGATTACGATCCCATTTCAAAAATCCTGAAAAATACCATGCAGTAAAAATAATACAGGGTGATCTTTTTTAAAGTAACAGTGTTCGGAGCGCCCTATAGTGTGATCTAATAGCCGAAATGGCATCAACCTTGGTATTTAGATTAATCAAGACATGGGGAAAAGAATTCCGTGAAAAAAAAATTTAGTTCCAAAAATCGCCGCTAGGGCATTTTGTGGCACTGCTATAGCTTACAATAACGAGAATTAGCATAAAACACGGGTATCAAAGAAAATGCAAATGTTGTGCATTGACAGCGCCAGTAATATCGGCTATAAAAGCAAGTAGTAGACAGCTCCAACAAATAATCTCAGCTGAAGTAAACGAGCTCCAGTGGACATGCCTCTCGCGACACTGGAACGTGTGTTACTGATGAAGCTGTATTACATGAGTCAATGTAATGTATCTGCAGCGCTTCGGGAATTCTGAAGCAGAAATAAATTGCAAAAGGGACTTTTATCCCTGAATGGTCTTAAGAAAATGATTAAGAAGTTCGAGAAAACGGGGTCACTGACCATTCACGTTGGGAGAGGACGTAAACCAGTATCCGAAGATGTAATAACTGATGTGGCAACTGCAATTGTCAAAGGATCGCAGGGAACCATTGCTGGTACTAGCAGCGCTCAGGATGTAGCTTAATAATTGGACATGAACTATTCCACGGTATGGAGAGTTTTGCGGCGCGTTATTGGATTTTACTCCTACAAAATCAGCCACTTGCACGAACTGAAACCGAGTGATTATGATAAGCGAGTGACATTTGCTCTGTCGTTTTTTGCCAGGGTAGAAATTGATGATGTTTTCCCATGGCACATTCTGTGGGAAGATAAGTGCCATTTTTATCTCAATGGGTCCATAAACACACAAAATAGCCGAATTTGGGCTTCTGAGCAGCTGCACACCGTGCACGAAATCCCATTAAGTTCCCCAAAAGTCACTGTTTGGTGTGGTTTCATAGATGAATACGTAATTGGGCCATTTTTTTTTTTTTTTGAGACCATCACTTCAACAGGACCCAAAACGTGCACCATAAATGTAGAAAGGTGCCACGAAATGCTGCAAACGTTTGTTATTCCGCAACTTCAGCAAAGTAACCATCTCCAACAGACAATCTTTATGCAGGATGGTGCTTTGCAAAACATTAGTAATAAGGTAAAGCAGCTGTTGCACCTAAACTTCACTGATGATAGAGTCATAAGTGGCAGTTTTCCAGTTGCATGGCCGCCTCGTTCCTTTGACCTCACGCCATGCGATTTTTGGCTCTGGGGTTATTTGAAATCTCAACTTTATGTTGGCTGAGTATCAATATTGTGTATTTTAAAGGACAACATAACAAAGACATTGCGGAATATTCCTCGTGATAAGTTACATACAGCTGTGGAGAACGTTGGGCACAGAATGCACGCTGTTTTTTTTTTTTTTTTTTTTTTTTTTTTTTTTTTTTTTTTTTTTTTGAGAACAGTCACATAGAATGTGGTCTAATTCCTCACGGGGGAAGTTGATGTAGTAAATAAACATTAATAATTTAACTGTACAATGTCTTGATGTCCCAGTCTAAATACCAAGTTTGGTGTCATTTCGGCTATTAGATCACACTACAGGGCGCTCCAAACACTGTCACTCACCCTGTACATAATTTCAAATAATTCTCAATACTGTTGCAAAATACTTTCATACATACACACACACACACATAATTTCAACCTATTTAATGACTAAAGCATGAAATATAATTCTTTTATTTTATTAAAAAAATATGCTTTGGAAAATGAATTCAAACAGTTGCCCATTTTTTTCCGGGGGGGGGGGATTCTCCACATTTTTCTAAAACAACTGTTAAGTTAAACTTCTTTCTGAAGGAGGTACTAGGGAACTACTATATTTTTATTTTTCATTGCTAAAAATTGAAAATTCAGTATGAACACCAAATTTTTTTGATCTCGACAATGGCTTTTCAAATAATCATTAAAGTTTCAGATTAGAGCTCGCAATATACATGCGGCACTGTTAGAAAGAAAATGGTTCATAAAATGGAAAAAGTTTCGTAAGCTGCATTTTACACTGCTGCATTAAACTGCTGCATTTTACAGTTACACAATAAATTATCCCTCAAACTTTTACAAATACACACCACACCCAAAATCTTGATATGTAGTTTTTCGTAATGAAAATAATTAATACTACAGTCTGTACATCATCTAAGCTATAACTGTTCTAGGAAGTCCTATATTCTAACATAATATTACTCATATATTTAAATGAACATTCAGCAGCAGGTTCACAGACACGGGTTAAAACAGATTTCAGTTTTTTCAATACTGAATATTTCAGTTTGCTGTCTTTCTTAAGACTGAATATTTCAGCATAGTTTTTTCTCCCACTACTGTGCATGTCTAACATAAACAGCAAAAATAACTTTTTTATATAAGACAAAATGAGTTTGCTCAGATAAGATGCCTGACCACTCAATGAACTTTATATAGTCTAAAAGTTTTAAATTTATGTAATCGGTTAATACACTTATTTTAAAACATTTTAAATAAGATTTTGATGTCATAGACTTTTTTATCATACAATCTACATGGCAAAGGAAATTTCAGATTTAAGATAGAATAATATGTACATTTTTGCTGCATTGGCATCACAGTCACCACTGCTGCATTCTTTTAAATACTGGTTTGGAAATAATAACATTAAATAGAAATTTGTATTTTCATTATACCACGGGTTCTCATCTGGTGGTACGCTAGGGAAAAATAGGTGGTAGGCAAAGAAGCAAAGCATTTTTAACTATTAAATTAAAAAATTAAAAACCCCAACATACTGATTGAGATTTTCTTTAACACTCATAAATTTATGTCATCTGAGCTTTGTTCAAGAGTGGTGGTGGTGCTTAAGGTTTTCAATTTTTGTTTTTATGGTACACGTTAGTCAAAAGGTTGAGAACAGCTGCATTATACAAATATTTTACAGATAGCCATACATATTATTAAACTCAGAAAAAGTTTTCCCAGAGATAATTACCTCTTTTAGCAACAGGTAAAATTGCCAAACGTAACGTATTTGATGCTACACTAATAAAAATTTCAGGATCCCTACATGCCAAAGGACTTAATACTCTAAAAATATAATTCATTTCTTTGGAGATGAACAAAGATGCTGCTCCAGCTGATGTTGTAGATCTTATAACCTACAAATAGAGAACAAGTACATAGCAATTAGAGATATTACTGCTGGCCATTAAAATTCCTACACCATGATGGAAAGCTAATGGCAGAAATTTATTTATTGTACATGTACAGTATAATGGGAGGAAGACATTAAATTTGCTTCGGTTTCGGGTGCCAAAGCATACAGAGCTGCCATGTATGGCAGCAAAAATGGCTGCAAGCTGGCTGGGCATCAAGTCGAGCTGAGCTTCTATATTTGTTCTACACTCTAACAGCTCTACATTAGACTTCATTTCTCACAGTGACTGGAAAGTAGTGACATGCCAGCTCCAGGCAAACCATGACCAGATGTTCTCAGTGGGGAAGAGATCTGGTGACTGGGGCAACAGATGAACACCCTCAGTATCAAGGAAGGCTAGCATAGTATGGGCAGAATGCATACAGTTATGCATCTTATTAAAAGGTAACGTCACACAGGGTTTGAAAAAAGGCAATGACAGCCGTCCACATTAGCATCTCTGCATACAGAAAGTAATTAGGACATGTAACCAACATCACCCCATACCACTACGGCAGATGCTGGGCTTATATAATGAATGTATGTTGGCAATGCCCACTTTCCTTGGTGACCCCACATATAGATATACATTATGATACAGCATGCAGAACTAAAATTTGACAACGAAAAAAATCACATAGTGCAAGTACTGTGTCCCACGCCATCATTTATCACATCACTGTAGGTGGAACTCTCTCTGCTATAGTGTCAAGGGAAGCCAGAACAATGGTCACTTTGCTAATGGTCTATGGTGCTGCAGACACAGCCTGCACACAAGCCAAGTTCCTGTATCAAATAGCTCTATGATATCACAAGGCCAAAAAACGGCATCTGTCCCTTTGGCATTAGTAGACTGGGGACGCTAGTACGCCACATAGAATTCAGTTTGGCCTTACTGGGCCCATCCATTCTATATTTGCCTTAAAGTCACAGGATCCCAACTGACATTTGGAGCAGTGTTACAGAACATTAAACAGCAGTCAAGACAGTCACAATAACCTATGGTTGAATTATGTATATGCTCTGATAGGAATTTCTTCATACTCGAGGCAGGATACAACATTTACATTAACAACCAAAATTCAAATGTGATTTTCAAATGAGATATGTGATGTGCATTCATCCCATTTATACACAATGCAAATGAAGTTACTCGTACCTACTTTGTGAGCATGTGCAGGAATAAAAATAACTTGCATATCCTAGAATGTAGTACATTTCATGCAAATTTGATGTTTGCTGCATGACACCCTCATGGTGTAGCAATTTTAATGGCCAATGGTGTACATTTTGCTTTAAAGCAAACAGTAGACAGCAATATTTTGATTCTAATGTAAAATGCACACTTGAGATATCCTAAAAAAGTATCATTACAATAGCAAAATATTAAAATTATGAATATATATATAAGTGTTAAAAATACAAACTCTCGTAAATAGACCTTCCCGAGATTTTAGTAATTTTGTTTTTGTGTTTAGAAAAGTATTTCATATAAACTATCTGATACAGAGTGCAACAGATTTAGTGTTGTTAACATCCACTTGTGACAAAATATCAGGGATAAAATTTAAATGAATAACAAGGAACTGCCGTTTAGACGAGTCAAAACAAATTTGAATTAATACTCAATTAAAAAAAAGTTCAATTTCTAAGAAGAATCACATCAAACTGTCCCAACATGCAAGATTTCCATACTGCTCTCTACACCTCACAAAAACTCCTTACACATTTCCTGTCTAGTTTTACCATCATCTATTTTCTCCAGGTGTGACTGCACTCGTAATATATGCCATCTGCTAGATGTACTTTGCAGCTACTGTAATTTTAAGAGCTGCATGATAAAATACAAGAGAATAAAAAGCAGTAAATTTTAGGAGTAAAAATAGCCAAATACAGTACAAATTCAGAGATCAGGACTCGTCGGAACTTCCGTGATTCTGTATTTGGAATTTTTCTGGTTATTAGATCATCAATTTAAATCTAGTAAGATGGCAGGCCGAAATTACATAATTAAAAATATGAAAGAGCATTTATGATCTAAAAGGTATAAAAATTTTTTTTAAAAAAATCTCAATATTTGTTTACTTTATTAAACATTTCTTTCAATGCAAGTTGTTTAAGTTGCTTAATTTTTTGTGCTAATACTTTTTCTTTAATTCTATGAACAGACATAATTTCTTGCTCAGTTACAAAGTTCCACTGTTCAAGCCCTGTACTTGCAGTGTCGAAAATACTGGCTAACTTGTCAATCAAAATTTTCTAGTTTTCAATAACCTCTCACTCATTTTCTTCACTATCGGTAGTGGTATTTTCTGGATCTGGAATCATAAGATAGATTTCGCCGTCCATTAATTGATTGATGACTTTCATTGTGATGACCATCATTGTAATGAAAACTTCTGTTATATCATCTTCATTTATTACCATTTCTCCACATTTCTTTACAAAATCCATTAACTGGAAAATTTCACCTTTAGTTTGCGATCTCCGGAAACCTTCAAATTCATGGCCATCATTTTCATCGTCCTCACCATGAAATATGGTAACAGGCCATAAATTATGCCAAGGAGTTTTTAATGTATCTGGAGGCACATCCTCCCACGAACTTGTGATGCTCCACACAGCAGATTTTATGCTAAAATATTTCAAAAATTCTTGAATAGTCTTGCCATTGTTCAAGATATTTAACATGCATTTTAGAAATGCTACTTTATATTAGCATTTCAGTGTGCGCACTATTCCGATATGCATAGGCTGTATGACGGATGACAATTTGGAGGAAGAATAATACAAATACATTATCTGAACATCCACTATACATTATTGGCTACGTATCGTAAGATTGGTGACGAAAGATACATTGTTACGCTAAATTTTGTCTTGTTCCTATTGCGTACTGAATTAAGCCTGAACTGAATTAGTTTATTTACTATACCTACATCTATTTCTTGCACATGCTTAAAACTAATCTGAGTCATGAATAAATAATCTCCCACAAATGCTTAAGGCTTTATCTAGGGACAGCGCAAGATATCTGATGGTGCAGTCTCTGCGGGTCCTAAATTCTGTAGAGGGCCTTCTTAAGTCCTACATTTTTCCCACCCCTAAACTCAGTGCTTTCCCTAAATTATAAAAAATTCTAATCCCTTAATTTTGCTGCTTGGTGCATCCTCGAATTCCAAAAATTTTGCCTTCCCTAATTCTGCCGTCCGGTGCAGCCATAGTCTGCCGCTGCATCTGACTTATCATAATTCTGACTTATGTGAATAACATATCAGTTATTCTTAATTAAAATAGTACTAAACGTAATCTTTTGGCCTATGAGTTTCATTACAAAACCTATTTTTTAACATATGTAAAGAAATTTTTGTTAAACTTTTCCTCGTCAACATTCCTTAGCACATTGACCTTAAAACTGTAATCATCGCCAAGCATATGTTACCATACTTTGTTATTCAATTACTAATATAAAAAAACTGTTTAGACATCGCTGCACGAGTCATTACTGAAGCTGTCATGCGGAAATGAAAGCAAAATATAATAAATAATGACTTGCCAGGTCGGCGTCAGAGATAAAAAAATACTAGCAGGTGAATTTTCCGGTTTGAGATGTATGTCAAGCAGATACTCAACTACATAGCCAAATTAATAATCTCACAAATTTATATGTACATAATTGTTTCCTCATAATGAGGTATTTTATTTAGTGCCTAAGTGAAATGAAGAATCAGAATTTTTAAGAGAAAATCTCCATATGTTTTATTATGGAAGAAAAAATCAAATGTGCATGTGTAAAGTTTGTGGCTTTGAGGCTTGGATTTTAGATCGTTTCAGATATTGGACGTCCAGATCTTGGACTTTGTACTGTATTAGCATTCAATCCAGTACATGTATCTGTAGCTCGGCGACTGTAATATACGAGCCAGGATGATTTGAAAGATGCAATATAAGATAATTGGTTAATTCTGAGACTATTAGTACATGAAAGCAGCCCATATTTTTCATTAACTTACTCTTTTTTGATGAAAATTTCTTTTTACTCAAGTTTCTGATTAGAGTAAATTTTCTTAATGCACATGTAATGAATAAATAAAAAAATTATCCTGCACATCAAGAATGGTATTTATTTAGGATCTGAATACAAACAGATTTGGATTAACATGTTAAGTGCTAACTACAAGATAGCTCGTAGGTGGTTTACTTCACTAAGATGTTATCTCGTCTTCACTAAGATGTTATATCTACAAGTTATCTCGTCGCTTCATTACTTGCCATATTTGTACAGCTAAGAGGAAAGTTGTAGTATAACAGTGTAAATATGAATACATGGCCTCAGGAAAAACAACAAAAAAAAATCAGGTTGGTTTAAATGAACTGAAAATAAAATTATACAAAGTTTGTTAAAAAAAAAGTTTATACAAGCAGAATAACATTTTTATGGTTTGCGATAAGTTTTAAAACCATCCTCCATGAAAGTGCTGGCTTCTCTTGGCCAGATTATTTTGGCCATTTCTAATTTGATTATAACAGGGTTTGTACACATTTCCTTACATGAAAATTAAGTACTTTTAAGGACCATCAAAAAAAAATTAAGGACCTATCAGCAAACAAAAAATTGAATAGAATAAAGCAATTATCCATACAACCGACTTCATGCTTGTAATTTCACTTTAAGAAACTAACAGAAGTGTGTATTATGCACTATTATTAAATTCAACTTAATACTTACCATAAAACAATTTTGAAAATTAAACTAACTCCTACACGTTATGAAGTAGATAACATTAAATGAGAACATAATTTCTTGAAAAACATGTATAAGTATATTTTACACTAATAACAGTCACTATTTTAGAGATTTACATGATTATTATTTAACTTATTTGATATTTATTTAAAACAGAGTCAACTACTATTATAATCACAATGTAAGAATATTTTGCAGATTAAAATAACTGATTTGTAAACATACAATTTATTTCCTTGGTTTTTTGAAAGATACTAGAATATAAACTGTACAATAAAAGATACAAAACATTTGTGCTTTTTTTTAAATCTGAATCTTTCAGCTATTTTTCTAAATTTATGTCTTTTCCCTTCTTAAACTATTCTTCTAAGTTCATTTGCTTTAATAAACAAATCAATGTTCCTGCTGGTCTCAGCCTCATCTGCTAAAGCATCTACTTCTTCTTAACATCTTTAATGACCCTTTGAAGGAAATTTTTCTTCTGCTTCATATAATCAATTTCTTTTCAATAATATTTCTTTTCCTCTTTGAATTTTCAGATTTAGTTAAAGATTTTTGTTTTTCTAAATACTGAACTTCTATATAACGAACTCCCTTGCAGAAGCTGCTGCTGATCTCATTTCTTTATTAATTTCGATATTAAGAACACCTCCAGAAAATTTTAGTATCAAATACTGTGCGTTGAAAAATGTATGATGAGTCACTTAAATTTTCAATTTCAATTGCTTTATTTACAGAGAAGCCCCTTTCCACAGAGGCCTGTTTCGTGTGACAAGATAAGAATACTTGTGACAGTGAATACTGAATAGTGAAAATATAAATTTTTTACTATATATATATATATTATATATATATATTATTTATCCTAAACAATATTGATTAATTGATTATATTATCTCCTAAGTTTAATTAAAGTAGAATTATTTTAAAAGAGTGAATCCATACTGGTAAGTTATATTTTGAAAGATGTATATAGATCATACACATATATATATATCATTACAATCCGAGAATCCGGACATCCAATTCTGGAATGATCTAAAATCCAGACCTCAAAGCCAATTTTTTAGGGCTTTTTTGAAGGGAAGGGGTATGCTTTACCCACGCGCATTAGATTTTTTTTCCTCATCATAAAAAAACATGCCAGAAATCTTGATTCTTAATCTCAGTTTCACGCTAAATAAAATATCTCATTATTGAAGAAATAATTATTTTAGCATAAATTTGCGTGATTAGCTGCGAATGCATAGCTGCGTATCTGCTTGGCATAATCTCAAACCGAAACATTTGTTAATTTTACACCAACTATATTTTATATCCTGATGCCGAAATCGCGATCATTATTTATTGTATTTTGCTTTCATCACCGCATTGTTTTCAACGATGACAAACTTGAGTGAGAATCACGCAGCGCGCCAAATAAGAGTAATTATCCGATTACAGATTTAAGTTTAATGCGCTAAAATGTTGACAGGGGAGATTTAGCAGAAATTTCTTTCCTTATGCTAAAAATAGATTTTGTTAATGATATTCATAGGACAACAAACGATTATATTTAGTGCTATTTGAATTAAGAATAACTGATTTTGTTATTCCATAAAGCCAGAACCAGCGCAGAGCTCGCATGGCCGCAATAGGCGGCAGAATTTAGCAAGTTAAACAGAAGTTTTTTCATTGCGATGACAATGCCCAATCATCAATCAATTAACGGAGGGCGAAATCTGTAGTATGGTTCTAAATCCAGAAAATACCGCTACTGATAGTGAAGAAAGTAACAGAGAGGTTTACTGAATGAGAAAAATTTTGATTGACAAGTTATTCGAAATTCTCGACACAGCAATTACAGGACTTGAACACATGGAACTTAATAACTGAACAAGAATTATATGTCTATAGTATTAGTCTAAAGTATTAGCAGAGAAAACAAATCAACAAACACTCACATTGAAAGAAATGTTTAATAAAGTAAACCATAAATATTAAGCTCTTTTCTTCTGTAAATTTATACCTTTAAATCATAATGCTTCATTTCATAATCACGATTTCATATTTTCAATTTTAATTTTCTACTGCCATCTTAGTAGATTTAAAATGATCTAATATCCGGAAAAATCTCAAATCTGGGATCGCCGAAGTCCCGCGAGTCCAGACCTCAGGACTTGTACTGTATAAATTACATATATAATATGGAATGTATATTTTCAGTTAAACTTCTACCCAATAACTTAGTATTCATGAAAGTAATTTTGCATCTAGTTAATTCAGGAAATTAGTTCATTAGTTGTTTTCAGCTTTAAAAATTTTTTAAAATTTTTTATTAATTAATTTTTAACTAAATTGTATCGCCATTAGCAAAATTATGCATTACTATCAAAAAACATAGGTTTAAACCAAATACTTAATTGTCTATTGAGCTTCAAAGTATTCCTAACTTCACTTTTTCTCGCTAGTTTACCGATTTTGCCCTGCGACCTAAAATCGAAATGGAGCCACAGATTTCCCGCAAATCGATAACAGACCTTCTGCAGAAATAAACTCATAATCCCGATATCCCATACATATAGTATGTGCAAAAGAGAATAAACTCTGTAGAAGTGATAATTATTTATGGCTTAATTGAAACAACACAGAATAAGCTAGCAAAGTGTAAAAACAAATTGAAATGAAAAACGAAACGTAATTTTATGTGAATTTTCAGTGCTGACTCTCCCATTCTAGAAATTTCAACTTGTTTCAGACAAAGACCATATTTAGGATGCCATCCATCAATATCCATCTTTGTAGTCAGCTGATGAAGCCACATTTATTGAAAATGCACTTTCCAGGCATCTCGTTCCTATTAGCGTCGGAAGGTTGTGGCCTTTCCAGTTGGGATTGCTCTAATTTTGGCAATATTTCAGATACCCCCCTTTTTTTTTCTCGAGCACCTTCATCTATCACTTTCGCCTCTTAAAGAACTTCCTTCACGCTTTCGTCACAGTCTGCTAATTTATGATAACACCTTTTTCGAAAGATTGGTGAATAGCCATCAGACACCGATACTTTCATTCGGTATCCTAATTGTTTTTTTTTTTTTTTTTTATCGTTTGCAACGCAATCCGCCAACAGATCGTTAGAGATCAATTTTAATTCCATATCATGAGAAATCGCAATTCACCATAGATGGCAATCATTAGAATGAAAGAAATGTCAAATGAGCAAAATTAAGACGTTTATTCATTTTGGCCAAAATTAAGGATTTTAAAGACCAAAAATCATTTTTGAAAAAATTAAGGACTTTTAAGGACCGTACAAACCCTGTATAAAATAACACACACAAGAAAGATACAAATATGAACACTATATCTCTATTATTACTAATGAATTTATACACAGTTTCTGACTCAGCTCTAGTGAGCAACAGGCTGAAGTGTATCTGTGCATTAATTATGTCTTAGTAGGCTTCCGCAGAGAAATTTCTGTTATACCAACTACAGGATCAAAATTGACTTTTTAACACAAATCGTAAAATGTTCTGTGGCAGTCAACGCATTAAAGGATAAAATGTAACCCTTTGAGCAAAGCTTTACCTCTGCGTATAACAAAAAATTAAAAACTTTAGTTTTAGATTTATAATATCCCACTCCAGGCAGAGGGGAATTTTTATGACAGCATCATATAATTTAGAAGATTTTACATGACCGCTGGTGCTGTATTATTTAACAGTGCTGATCGAAATAAACGTGAACAAAAAAAAAAAAAAAGAAGAAGAAGAAAAAAGGAAAAGGAAAAGAAAAGTTAAATGAATACAACTTTTACATGTTTCATATTGATTTTTAATTATATATACTCAAAACAAAACTATGATACAGTCTGCTACAGTTTCATATACTAACGCTACAGTTTTATATAATACTGGTCGTATAATTTTATATAATACAGATGTCGTGTGTACATTTAAATACACACACATCAATATCAAATAAACATAAAGCAATGTGTTACCCCTCCTTAAAAAAGGGGACTCAGTTGAGAAGTTTATTTTAGTGTAATGACTAAATTATATGCAAATTATTCACTCTAAAGTATAAAAGAAATATGAAGAGGACTCACTTTTCCCATAGTATTGAACAGTGTTGAGCTATCTTCTAATATATGACGAAATAACAAAGTAGTCAAAGATGTAAATCCAATAAAAGAATATGGCTGAGTTAAAGACAAAAGAAGTTTAGGTCCATCCATATTAGCAAACATGACAGCATTGGAATGAACTCTAGTTAGTCTTAAGCATAACCTCATGATAGCATGCAATGCATCTGGTTCTAGAGGAACACTCAAAAATGTAACACAGACCCTGAAACACAATGAGAAAAATTTGTTAACATTACCAATTCTACACACACAAACATATGCATATATATATATATATATATATATATATATATATATATATATATACTCTAAACATATATAATTCTATTCTAGGCAAACTCAACAATATTTGATTGAAAGACAAAATACCTCTAAAAGGACTTTCTTCAAACTATATTAAATACTAAAATGTTGCCTTAAACATTGTCAAGATGTTAGGATTGTTCCCTCAAAAGTAAAATTTACCAGATACATAAATCAATATTTCACTGACACATACACTTCCATTCAAAATAAAAAATAAAAACAAACATACTACCTTCCTAAAAAAGCAGGATTTTACATATTGTTTCAAACATAAGCAAAAACAAAAATTTCTGTATATTAAGAGTGAATATGAGATTTCAGGATTTATTTTTTGCCTTAAAGCTGAACTGAAAATATATCTGAGTGCAAATCAAATAATGCATAGAATATTATGAAAATATAACATTTTACAGTAGCTCACAAAATCTTAGTATTCTTATACTGCCAAATAGTAGTATTAAGTATATTCTATATATATATTTGAGAGAGATTTTCTTTCAAACTGGCAAAATTTAACAAGGAACAATGTTTAAAATCTTAAAATTAACAAAAGTATATACGATTTTAAAATCTAGTAAGATGGCATATAGAAATTATAATTATTATTAAGTTTAAAATATGGAATCGCAATTTATGAATAATGAAGTATTTATGATCTAAAGAGTATAAAAATTTGCACACACACACACACACACCACACACACAAAAAAAAAAAAAAAAAAAAAAAAAAGCTTAATATTTATTTGTTTACCTTATTAAACATTTCTTTCAATGTAAGTTGTGTAAGTTTTTAGTGCTAATACTTTCTCTTTAATTATGTAGACATGGCAATCTCTTATTTGCTTACATCGTTGAAGTCCAGTAACTGGTATTTTGCGGATTCCGACTAATCGAAATTTTCTCGTTTTCAGTATTTTCTCTGTTTCTTTCTTCATTATAGGTAGCGGTATTTTTTGGATCAAGAACTATACTACAGATTTCTGCATTCATTAATTAATTGATGATTGAAAAGCATTGTCATCACAATGAAAATCTTTTTTTTATATCATCTTCATTTATTACCGCTTCATATTCTTTACAAAATCCATTAATTGGAAGATTTCACCTTTGTAATGATTTCTATGTAGATGATTGTTTATCTGGATCAAACAGTTTAGAGGAATCAGTTGACCTATGATCTAAGCTTTCACAGTTAACTGAGAAATGTGGATTCAATTTAAGGAAATGGAGATCAAACTGCCCTAAGCTTCTCAAAAATTTATCGATTGTACAGGAAGTCACTCGATCTTTGGCTAAAACTTTAGGCTGTTTTGAACCTACAGAAGCTATTTTTATTTACCATTATATGGATTTGGAACTGAAATTACTAAAAGAAGGTTCATTTCTCAATCTCGAATCTTGATCCTCTTTGCTAGCTATCTCCATGTACAGCAGTTGAAATGTTTTATCAGCATTGTGCTTTTAAAACTTAACTAGGATGTCCCACTGTCTAAAGGATGGGAAGAGAAATTGCAGCGACTTCAAGATCTTAAGGTTCTCAGAAATAAAATTTTGAGGTGGCTTCAAACTACGTCTAACCACATCTATCTGCATGGTTTTTCTGACATGTGAAAATCTGCTGACACAGTTGCCATCTACTGTGTTGAACCAACATCTCACGACAGAAATGAAGTCAATTTGTAGGTATTTTTCATTCAGGCACTTTTTGCATAAAAAGTTTTTGCATATAGCATGCAAAAAAAATTAAATCGCTTAGCACAAATATTTTATGTCACATTTCCATTTTAAAATAAAGTCACACAGCTTTTATTTCTTGATGACAGGATCTTCTAACTTAGAAACTACTCTACTGCATACTGTCATATGAAAAGGAGGCACCAAATACTTATGAAATTCTCACAATGCAACGAAAAAACAGAACTTGCATCCTTTGTTACAAAAATAAACTAGCTGATGGGGAAATAAATTTGTTTACATAAAGCAAGGCAAAATTTATGATTGTGTTATGACATCACATGCTTATCCATTTTTTTCCCACTAAATCACAGTACAGTACAAAGTCCAAAATTCGGACATCCATTATCCAGAATGATCTAAAATCCAGACCTCAAAGGCACAATTTTTTTTTTTTTGTATGCTTTATGCATGCGCATTTGATTTTTCCTTACCTAATAAAACGTGGAGATTTTCACTTAAAAATTCCGATTCTTAATTTCAATTGAACACTAAATAAAAAAACCTCGTTATGAAAAAACAATAATGTAAGCATAAATTTGTGAGATTAATAATTTGGCTCCATAACTGAGTATCTGCTTGGCATACATCTCAAACCGAAACATTCACCTATTTTATATCCCTGACGTCAACCTGGCGAGTCATTATTTATTATATTTTGCTTTCACCCCCACATGTTTATCAATACATGACAGCTGAAGTAATAACTCACAGTAATGTCTTAACTTTTTTTTTATATTAATAATTGAATAACAAGAGTATGGCAACCTTTTATGCTAACATTACGCTTCACGATGATTATAGATTTTTAAATGTTCTAAGAAATGTTGACGAGAAAAAATTCAACAAAAATTTCTTTTCATATACTAAAAAAAGATTTTGTTAATGAAACCCATAGGCCAAAAGATTACATTTAGTGCTTTTTAATTAAGGATAGCTGATATGATATTCACATTAAACATGCAAAGTTTAGGCACGGCGAAAACTTAGACCTTAGAAAGGCGCTTTGTAGCAGAATTTAGGACCTGCAGAGACTACCCTAGATTAGGCCTGAAGTATACGTGGGAGTTTATTTATTCAGGACTCAGTTTTGTTTTAAGCATGTGCAAGAAATAAACATAGCTATTGTAAGTAACTAAACTTAATACAATTCACACTTAATTCAGTACGCAATAGGAGCAAGAAAAAAAAAATTTGCATCGCCAATCTTGTGACACACAGCCAATAATGTATAACGGACGCTATTAAGCTATGCTAAAATTACCTTTACTGATTCTAATGCACAGTTAATGCAGTAGATTGTGCTGCTCCTTAATTTTCTAATTTATTCCAGCTTTTTTTTTTTTTTTTTTTTTCTTTCTTTCTTCCAGACTGTTGTTATTAGAGCAATTTTATGAAACTTAAGCTTTAACTTTCGACTATGTGGAAAAGAGCTTAAAATTCTGGAGTTGGAATGAGGATCTACAAATAGAAAGCATGTTTCGATGTCCATGAAATAGATTTGCTGCAAAAAATGGATAAAGGTATATATATACAACTCAAAATTATACGAGCAATATGGCACTGAAAGTCAACTGTATATGAAATAACAAAACAACAACAAAAAGGAACTTTTTGAGGATTCTGACTCCCCACTTGCAACGAATCACATATAAATTATTCGTCATGCTAAAAGTGACGAATGAAAAACTGATAAACTGAATGGGTCAGATTGCATTACACCTAAAGCCTGCCATTGACAGGTCCAAAGCTAGTGGCCCAAACCAAAATATTTCATGAAGAAATCAACTTAAAACTGAGTGCATGTATTCGACAGGTTGGTTAAACAAATTTTAAAATTGCCATGGTCTAAGGCAATTAAAACTTTCAGCTTATACAGAAGCTGCTGAACTATTTGCAGATAAATTCCTTGAAGTCATTAATAGTGAAAAGCTATCTCCAGAACAAATTTACAACGCTAATTAAACTGGTCTTTTCTGGCAATATGTACCGTGAAATACCTTAGCATTCTCAACAGAAAAGGTTACAACTGGTGTCAAAAATTCCAAAGCGAAACTAGCAATTTTAGCATGCACAAATACTGCAGGAACACACAAGTGTGCACTTTTAGTAGTCAGAAAAAATCCACGACCTCCAGCATTTGAAGGAGTAAAAAATATCCACGTTATACAGGGTTATTCAAAAAGAAAGAGCAGATTGCAAACATGTATATCTTTCAAACTACAAAAGATAGAAACATGATTGTAACGTTAATGGATAGAGAAAAGTGTACAATTTAGTACGGGTAAAAGTTCCAATCATGGACGCATTGGCGCTATTGTTAGTTCCGGTATTGTTTGTTGGTTGGTAGTCTGTAGTGAAATGGTGGCGACACCACAGCAGAAGTCTTTTGTGTTCCATATTTGGCAAAACTAGAGTCCATTGTTGCAGTTCAGCTAGCATTTCACTGCCAATTTAATAAACAACCACCGCGTCATAAGCAAATTACGAGTGGCATCGACAATTCGTAGAAGATGGTTGCATCTGCAAAGGGAAAAGCACGGGACATCCACGCACATCAAACAAGAACGTCGAGTGTATTCATACACTTTACGAAAGGAGCCCAAAGAAATCCACATTGCGAGCAAGGAACTTAAAATTCCTCAACCAACGGTATGGCAAGTTCTAAAACATCATCTGCACATGAAGCCATATAAACTGCAGTTATTGAATGCATACCATAATTGTAAACTTTTCTCTATCCATTTTATCTATTTTCTCTATCCACATTAGAATCATGTTTTTATCTTTGGTAGTTTGGAAGAAATAAATGTTTGAAATCTGCTTTCTTTTTGAATAATTCCGTATATTGTGAAAATAAAACAGCATGGATGACATAAGCATTAATGAATAATTGGTTTGAAAAATAATTTTATACCCGAGGCTCGGCAACATTTGAATTTGGTTGATTTACCTGACGTCTCAAACGATAACATTTTGATGAATTAATTAAACATGTCTATTATATTGAGCCAAAACCATTGTTTAAAAGTAAAACTATTGAGCTATTTCTAAAAAATTAAATTATTGCATAAATTAATGCAAAAGTAATATTTTTCATTTTAAGTTAACGTACAGTACAAGGTCTGTAATCCGGACGTATATTATCTGGAATGATCTATAATCCGGACCTCAAAGCCACAAACTGACGCATTGGCGTTTAATGTTACGCATGTGCGTGTAGCACAAAAAGCAATGCAACTTAAACCACTTACATTCAAAGAAATGTTAAATAAAGTAAACATATAAATATAAGCTTTTTTTTTTTTTTTTTTTTTTTTTTTTTGGTAAATTTTGATACCCTTAGACTATATTCCTCTTTATTTCATAAATTAGCTTCAATATTTTTTAATTTATAATCCGATGCCATCTTACCAGATTTAAATGATGATCAATCTGGAAAACCCTAATCCGAGCCGCCGAATCCTGACGAATCGGATTACGGACTTTGTACTGTATTAAATGCTTTAAACTGGAATAAAAGTGCAAAATGGAACCCCAAAATGGAAACAATAAACTCGGTTTTGGTTTATTCGAAAGGGGATAGGAGCATAGGATAGGGATATTGCCCGTTTCAACTTTTAAAGAAGGAAGTTATGAAATATTTTAAAGGTTCAAGAAAATACTAACTTTTGTTTAGAAATTGATTTTTGAGAAGGATGAACATAGTTTATAAGTATGTATACATATTTTTTATGCAAAACTTTTCAAATGTTCAGTTAATGATTTCTGAAAAACGAGGTTTATCACGTACATCTAAAAATACTATCCTTATCATAAAGTCTCACTTGTTATGAAATGACAATACAGTACAAAGTCTATTTTCGGACGTCCTAATCCAGCATGATCCTATCAGAGCCAAAGCTACATACTCTTCATATGCATTACCTGAGGATATAAGCTAGGCTAAATATTAATTATCCTATTTCAGTTAATGTTGCAGATTGCATTGTTCCTTATCTTCTATTGATCCCCTTATTATTTTTTGCAGATGCTAGAGCAATTTTATGAAAAGTAACTTGAACTTTGATTATGTCAAAAAGAGTTTCCTGATTCTGAGCTGCCAGGCTAAAAGCAAATGCATGTGCATTACCGCGTCCGATAGTTAAAAATGACAGGAGTTATTGAAAACGAAAATTTCGATTGACACGTTAGTCGGTATTCTCGCCATAACAGCAATTACAGGACTTGAACAGTGAACTGGACAAGAATTATGTCTGTTTATAGAATTAATAGAAAGCATTACACAAAAAACAAAGCAACTTAAACAACTTACATTGAAAGAAATATTTAATAAAGTAACCAAAAAAATATCAAGCACTTTTTTGTAAAATTTGATACTCTCATAATAATCACTCTTTATTTCATAAATTACGGTTTCATATTTTTATTTGTTCATATTTTATTACGGTTTCATATTTTATCATCTTACCAACTGATGGTCTATAATCCGGAATCGCCAAAGTCCCGAGTTCAGATTTCGGAGTTTGTGCTGTATCCAACAACAATTTACCATGTGCTAATAATAATAACAAAAGAAGCTTTATAATAAAGTTCTCATGTCATTTTTTTGGGCATGGAGATTTTTTTTCAAAAATTCTAAAATGCTACATTTATTTCAGCTTTTTGTTTAGTTGAATACTGGATTCTCGGGCTTTTACTGTACATTTATAACAGAATCTTAAGCATTCCAATAATTCTGAGAGCATCTGCATTAATAAACATAACCTGTTTTTTAACTTCCTATGTTCCATGTTAGGAATAAATTACTTTAAAAATTTCAAGTTTAAATATAAAAGGAAATACAAGAAGAAAAGGAGCAATTTTGTTAAAACAGAAATACATACCGGATTTCACAATACCTACCTTAAAAAACTATTAACTACACATAAAAAAAGCATTTGAAAAATAAGTTCTCTCCTGAAAGATGTCAAAAGATACATTTTCCCTATCTGCAACTTCTCTATTTTGAACAACAAATTAGAGATTGACAATTGTGTAATATATGGGATTAATCCACAGCAGCCAGATATTTTGAAACACGAGACCTCCATGCACAGTTGCTGAAGATGCAGCAATACATGATTTTTAAGTAAATAAATTTAAACATACACACTGACAGCCATAGTTAAGGAACTAAAACAATGTTGTAATGTGTAATGCATAGCTCTTCCAAAGCAAATTTCCACAAGTCTCGTAACAGAGAACCTACAGTAATGAGCTTCGATCAGTCTGACTAACCAGTGATATGAAGACTTCATGTGCACATCTAAAAGCAATGTTTATGCTTTCTCTCAAATGATGTTACAAGGCCAGAAAACATGCCACAGTGTGGTCATACACATGATTTTAAAGAGAACTGATTTATGAAAAGGTTACTGACTCAACACACTGAAGCACAAGTTAGTATTCTAGGATCTGAATACATGACAATGTGTTCTTTCTATACTTCAGAACTTTCACACTACAGGGGATATCCAAAGGAAATATGGAAAAAAAATGAATTGTTTCACAATAACAGGACAGCACCATTTTACAACTATTTGATATAATTCAATCAATTATGTCAAACTAAACACTTCACAAAAGAGGAAGTTCATTACATCACAGTTCCTAATATAAAACAAAGTACTAGATGTAGAAATGTTTTGGATTATTTATTATTTCTATAAATTTAGAATCTTTCAACATCCTGGATCATTTAGCTCCTTTAAAGTGCTAAATAGTTACCCTACACACTTTTTCTATCTCCCCTGCAATTTCCTGACGATGGTAATATACATTTTCACTAAGGCATAATGTCAGACCTGGAGCATGAACCTGACATTCCATATTAGGAAGAAAAGTTGTTTATTTAGTTTTGGCTTTGGTACGGGGGAAAAATAGTGTGTTCATTAAAAAAAAATTTAAAAAAAGCACTAAAAGCAAAAAATAAGCATTAAAGAAAAAATAAGAGTAAAAAAAAAAAGTAAGCTTAAAGCCTTTATTTTATTTTTTCAAATATAAGGACTTATAAGCACTTATAAGGATTGCTACGAACCCTGTTTGAGCATTGTAAAAACATTATTGCTGAATTAAGCATAACATGGTTTGATTAAATTTGTCATACAAAACTATATACGTTCAATTCTATAAATAAGGAACAGCTAAAAAAATAGAAAAATTCTTTTTAGCTAAAATATAAATTATTACCTCACTAAAGTTTTATTTTGATGAGGTGTTAATTTCTTAATCACTCTAATTTGGACTGGCTGGGTGTCAAGGAAACTCGTTTCTATACCCTGAACACAGCTTGCAAAATCACCTGTAGCCTCATCAAAAATAATATCTCTTCCTTTAATGTCATCTTCATCCCTTATTTCGTTAGGTTTATCTTCCAATACTAATAAAATAGGCCTCCAGTTGCCAGTTTCTTCATTTATCTAAATAAACAAAATGATGCACATTATTATACAAACGTTTTCCAGGTTTTATGACTAAAAGTTAACTTGAAATGTAAAAAAAATACACAAAAACTTGCAGACTTTTAATTATTTACCTGTGTCATAGTATTCAACTGAACAACATAATTACGACGGCCAGCAGTAAATTCCACGCTCGTTTCACCTGCTTTAAAAGCATCATCAATAACTTTATTGTTGGTCAGTGTATAATTGTTCCATTTCCCACTGCGATCATCAAACCACTTCCACTGGCGTTTAGGTGCCTGCATTTGCATCAGAAGAATTAAATGAAAGACATACAAAGGTATAAAACACTCTTAAGTGTTACAGCTGCTTGAAGTAAAACATGCAGTAAAGTTAAATCCATATCTATAGTTATTGACACTTTTCACAACAGTAAAATTATATTATTGATTAATGGCAAGCTAATGATAAGTGACTACATCATTTTGCTATATCATTTTGAATACAGTTTTATCTTTCTGAAAATAAAAATATGTACTGTATTAAAACTTTGTATGCAGAAACTTATTAAAGAGTCAAAATTTTAAGGAAGGGAGCAATGTAAAAGTTACTTTTAACACAGAAAATTTAGACACTTATTAAAAAGTCAAAAATTTGGGGAAAGAAGTAATACACAAACTAATTTTAACACACACTGTTAGTATTCAGTTATTATTTAAAAATGAATTAAAATCAAAAGTACACAAAGCATACAAAAGAAGCTTATCTTCCCTACAATAAACTAAATAACTTCCACACTTACCATAAGAAGGGGAGCTTTTCTATGTGTCATTTCTGCACCCCTATCATACTGGTCAATTAGCATCACCATAAATGGTAACCACCTTTGAAATCAAAGAAGCATTTTCATTCAAAAATAGGTTACACGTTTTACACATTTAACAAATACACTTCAGAATAAAATGGAATTTGGATGGTTTAGATATCAAATTATATCTTAATATGCCAATTACCTTGGTGTAGCTTCATCATGAAGAAGTTTCATACATGCAGCTGTTGATTCCAGGACTTTGATAATTAGATTAGGTACTCCAATTCTTTCCATTTCCCTTGCACATGTTATAGGCATTTCCTAAAATTAATTTAAATCAAACTAAAAAATTTAGCCAAACTATAGTTCATAATGGAAGAAACTTGCATAAAGGAAAACTGAACATCATGCATAAATTAAATTAGATATACAAATAAACTCCTTGGGGAAAAAAATAATAAATAACCTCAACGATGAGAGTAAACAAATGAAGTCGCACGGCTAGTTTGGATTCCAAACGGAACCAAGGAAACCTAGAACCTATGCCCCAACCTTTACGCTCTTCTGGTATGTAGTCTGTAGATAGATGATGAACCATGCGGCCCATAATATGAAAAATCTAAGAATAAAGAAATGTAAAAATATAAGCATAAAATAAGGGCATTTTATCAATAATACTTGGTAAGACTTCTGAAATAAAAGAAGAAAACACAGCAAATCAAAATTTGAAAATAAGAAAGTAAATAAATACTTACATAATGACATTTCCTTAAGAACAGTTTTACAAATAATCGAAGTCAAATAATTTAATGACATGTTATTTTCAAATATTCACGTCATAATTAAACAATTTCTGGAAAATATAAATCCAATGAGGGGTATGTGCTACATAAAAGTATGCTCACATATACATTTCTTTTGAGTTTCTGAATACCTGTTTATAGAGATGGGATGTCAAAACATGCAACTATATACAAAAAGTTCCAATTCCTACAAAGTCCTGGCTGTGTCAGCAGTCTACAAAATCCTGGCAACATAAACATATTTTCCACCAAATCCAAAGACAATCATTGCAACACTAAGCATCATTCACATTAATGATTTTAAGCAAACATTCAAGATTTCAAATCTTATCCCTGTATAGCAAAACTTTTTTTTTTAATTTCATGAAATCAGATTGTAAACCAAGTAGGAAAACGTTTTTCCTTAACTGCAATATCTGGCAGTCAACTCTTGTATCATAAAGCATCCATGTGTTGTTGAAAATATAAAACACTAACAAGCCAATTATCGGGAAACAGATCATTACACTGGTGGAGCTTGTTCTCAAACCCAAAATGCAAGCACATGGCTTATTACACTAACATTTTGTACTTCCAACTTTTCTGCATGCTAATCAAATCTGTTGCAACTGACAGCTGAATGTCATTATACCTTGCAATGTACTATTAAGGCCCGTTTCCACTACTGCGTACGAACACGTTGTGTCAATTGAAGACACACCTACAGCATCCGTAAAAGCGTTCCCACTGTCGTGTATCCATAGATTATTTTCACTGTAATATTTGGCGGCCAAACAACCAGTTCGCGAGTTACGATGCTGAGCACCTGAATTTTTCTCGCTTAAGCAAGTATTGTTTGTTTTGGATTTGATATGGATCCTGACGTAGAACACAGAAAAGTTTTGTTTACTAAATTCAATGAATTCATATCTCTTTTTATAGAAAAAGTTATAAAAATAAGCTTTTTCTCTTTATATATACACACACATTAGGTAAAGAAAATGGAAATATTTAATTAATTCCTGCGCTTCTGCTGGAGAGGACTGAATTGAAAAGCAATTTTTATAGTAATTTTTTCTTAACAAAATTTTTCAGGCATTAATACTGTCTCATGTTAATTGGTAATGAAAGTTTAGAGCCGTGAACATCCCAAAGTCTGAGCACATGTATGTACATTCACATAAAAGTGAAACGAAAAAATATATATACATATATGTACAATGTACAGTGCTTCAAAAGAATAGTTAATTAAATTTTAAAAAAGTTAAATTTAAATAATTCTCTTGCACCTTCGCTGCAAGGAATGAAATTTGAATTTAACAATCATTTATTCGTAAAAAGCAAATTTTAAAAGTTAATTAATTTAATGAAATTTAGTCAAACAAATAAATTAATTATTGCACGAACTAATCAATTATTTAATTAGTTTGCAGCAATAATTAATCATTATTTGTTTGCATTAAATGTATTGAAATTTAATTAACCTAACAAATATTCTGTATTCGTAAAAGCAAATTCAAAATATATTATATGTACAGGGTATGCTTAAAATTGTATTATATAATTTTCAAAATTTTGGGGGAAATTTAAATAATAAGAGTATAAATAAAACAATATAGTAATTCTCATAATAGAAACAAATTATAAAACACAAATATAGATCACATTGGAACAAAAAGCTAGAAGTTGCAGATAGGGTGCAAAAAGAGTATGGGATTTGAACTCACGACCCCAAAGGGTATCCTTGTCGTCAGCTTTACCACAACTAGCATCACCGGGAGTCGTATGCATAATTGGCTTATATACATCATCAAGTAAATCATTCTTAAACTAAATATTGTCCTATTTCATGCACTATGTCTAAAAAATTCCCCGAGTTTGTTCTTAAGTTTCTACTTTTTTATAAAAACATTAGGTTTAAAGTGGTGTTCCGATGAAGTAAGAGCTGTAAAATATATTTCATGTGCAAATATTGTTAGCCAAAAAGAGAATTTATAATAGAAAATACAATTTAACATACTCTTTAATGAAGTGGAATATTTAAAGGCTATCAAATTCAATTTATAATTAAGTTTTAGTTTTTACCTGTTCAAAAGAAAAAATAAAAATTTAAATCATTCTAATTTACTATAGCAGTTTGATATAGTCAGACATTCATTTTCATTAAAGGTAAATGAGTATGCAGAACTAGGAAATAATGGTTAGGACAAATTTTGCTATTTCATGGACTTGGAATTATAATTTTTACTGCTGATTTTCTGGAACTGAATTTCTTGAACACCTGACTTTATCTGCAAAAAAGTACTGTTGTTGCAGTTATCTTACTTTTTTTAGATAAAATCAGCTGATTGTTGTCTTTTTCAGCATGCAGATTTCTTACTATAATGTTAATTCAGAAATAAGTAATTTTTAGCAAAATATTCTTTCCTTAACAGAGCATTTATCGCTACTTCTGCCACCATTAATTTTTGGTGACTACACCTGATTCCTCCTTTTTTTACCATGTGACCCCCAACGCATCCACAGGCATACGGATAGATGTTGAACTTCATCCTTACATCATCCGTCACCGCACATCGACCGGATTGCAGATGTTAATCAAAGTGAATTCGCTCGCTGATTGGAGAAACATATACGCAGCAGTGGAAACAGGCCTATAACATGGCAACTCAGTTTCAGAATAAAGTGCCCATATTTGATGCCTTAGAAGACTTCACAATCAGTAACACATCAGCACGCAAAGGAAACTACTTATGCAAGAACATACACGACATTAGATTTTTCACCAAGTTCTGAAATAGAACTTTTCTTGCAACATAAATAGTTACATTTCTCTATCCCAGTTTCATAATCTTTACATATCATGAAGAAAGACAAAAGACAATTACATCTCACTCAATAACCAGATACTGATTTTTAATTTCAAGAGGATGAGGATTAAGAAGCAGACATAATAGAGTCACTTAAAAACACTTTCTCAACTCATCAATGTTACAATATTCTATTCTCCATTTCACTTGCCACATTTATATATTATCTTTAACTTAAATAATAATTATTTTCCAGATTTTGCTTTTTCACTCAAACTAATTGAAACACCCATTTCAGAAACTTCTTTAAAAAAATAAAGCAGCATTGTCAAAGATTAACACTATGAGGAAATGAGAGGTCTGTTTTTAAGTCTTGAAGAAATATCAAAACTAAATAAAGTTAAAAAAATGTATAAAATTGACAAAAACTAGTAAAAAAATTTTAAAGTGCAAAAGCACAGATGCTCAGAAATGCGGTTGTGGATATCACCTCTTCGTTCAAGAAAATGCTTCCGAACTTAACTGCGAGTAATGGCTAAAATAAGGCAACAAGAGATAGTCTATGAAAATACATAATATCTAGTTTCTAATAGCCATGAACTACTGTATTACGTCTTATCTTTACATCTTCAAGAATACGAAAAAATATTTACTTAAATTACATGATGTATAATAATGTGTTAAAGTAAATAACTACCATGTGATGTAAGTAAATTATTTTTTTCCCATTCATGAAACCTAAGTATGCACATATGCATAAGATACAAAATTAAGAGAACACATCTTGTCACCAGAATAAACCATACCTCCCTAATAAAACGATCAACAAGAAAGTTATCACACCAGATTTCTCCGTTTCTCTCAGCAACAGCTAGTAAAAGTTCAGAGACCCTGTGAACTGTCTCTGGTAAAGCATCTGATAACCTCAAGCAGGCTTCTGCAATATATTCTGTAAATAAATCCAGTGTCTGAGTGGAGAGTGGTTCTTCTTGCTGCTGCTCAAACTCAAGTTCCTTCTGTTCATCTGTTTTATTTGGTTCATTTTCCACCTAATAGAAAGAAAATTTGAAAATATTCTATTTAGCATAAAACAAATAAGAGATAATTTTTTACAGCATTACATGTTGACCAACCAATTATTATGACCTAAAACTTTTACTGTAACTTCTCTTTGTTTCTCCTTACCTCACATTCATAATGAGAAATGATAATGAGACAAATGAAATCCGAGTTGTACCTCCTCATTTTGCAGAAAATAAAAATTACCTATTTCATATGCAATTCCTGTCATTAAAAAAAATGCTAGTTGGAACATTTTCTATAAAATCATCCCCAATAGTCTGACGACTTCACTTACACAATGATGGTCATTTAAAAATACCTTTGTACTTACGTTATTAATGGATTTGTGGTAAGTCCCTTTGTTAAAACTTTTGATCACTCAGATCTGATTCTTTCCCACTAGAAAAAGATTCAACACTGTTATAAATATCTTTAAATATTCAAATCCTTTTTTGATTCCACTTTTCCCTTATACTGTAGTGTTGTGCATTTTTTTACTTATGTATTTGTTTCTTTAGGACAATAATTTCAGGGTTTATTTCACATTTATTCAAATTTGTGGCCTTCTGTTTTGCATTTAAGTGCTTATTTTCCATATAGAACTATAGATCTTTCATTTCTGAGGTCAATATTTGAATTGTAAAAACAGCTCAAGCAGGACACAACACTCAGAAATTCATTCTTAACAGGCCTTGGCGGCAATTTTTGTCACCAAATTAGTAACAATTTTCTCACCAAACTTGACAACTTTTTGGAAGATTCAAATAAACCTATTTTGAAAGCCTTGTCATCAGATGTTTCAAAATCCCATCCTACAGTATATAAGTGCAGGCCCAACTGCTATGCAGCCTGTTCTTTATCAGTTGCGAGACTTGGCAGTTAGGTGAACCGAGATTTGGAGTTTACTCTGCAAGTGATTTAGAGACTTGATGTTTCTCACGTATTACAGGGAAATTGTTTAATATCTGCATTCTCTTTGAGCTTACTGTGCCCACATCACTAATTTTGAAAGTTAATTGATAATTTCTTTCTCCTTATGTGCAGTGATTATTTTAAGAAATACCAACAAATCCACAGCTTGCAACAACTGGTGTCATAATTTAGGATTTATTAGAATTTTGATAATCAGGAATCAGAAGAGCAATTAAGAGCGATTGTAGAAATGATGTCAGCCAGGAAGCAGTAGCAGCTAAAGTTGCTGAAATGAAGAAATCAACAGAAATGAATTCTTCAGAGATGAAGAATAGAAGTGTTGCCAGAATGAGAAAATGACTCATTAGTACTTACTGCAATAAACCCCCCCGGGGGTCGACGTAGAGAATTCTGCGAAGCTACTGGCTAGGATCTGTACCTAGGCAGTCTTGGCCACGGGGGTATAAAATTTATAAACTTGGTGGTTCTGAAGGCTCTGGGAAAGGTCACTTATTGGCCGGCCTCGGAGTCTGGCACGTCCTAGCGCAGCGTGGTGCTAGTAACCCGTGGGGATTTCCCCCGGGGTCGCTGGGTAATGTCCCGCCGCGACGGGCTCGCCCGAGCGACTGGCAGAGCAATTGACGGACGGTGCTGCCTGGTGACGTATCCAGGTGGTGCGCGGCTCTGCTGGAGGGTAATAGTGGAGGTTGAACCTCCACGACGTGCCCGAAGGCAGAGTCGACCTGTAGTGAGCTAGTTCTCGGAACAGGGAAGCCCACAACCTATAGTTACTGCAATAAAGAAGAGTAATGCCAAAATTACAGGAAAAACTACCAGTGCTGTAAATGAGAAAACAGGGATATCTGAAGAACAAATTCCGAGATCTGCAAATCAGGAAATCACCAAGACCAGAGAAAGAATTTCTGCAGTAAATCATACTTGAGAAAACATTCTCAGATTAGGAAATTTCTAGAACTGGTTACATCTGTAAATAATCCCTGCTAAAACTTCCATATCTGATTTCTGGCTCATACTGGTATGAACAACATTCTCGTTATCTTATCGATTAGCTTCAAGTTCTCAACATATGGTGTAAAGACATCATGGAAAGTAAACAAACACAGTTTGGAATGATTTCACAAGCACATCAAAGGGATTTGCATGGAGCTTTAAACCTGGCAGCCTCCTTGTGAGTGAACACAAATGACAATCCTACAGTATTTCCACTTGACAAATGCTGATGGTTTGGTTAATGTGTTCGATTTTGTTGCTATGAGAAAGTTTTCTCAAGCATTATCACCGACTGCAGCTTAAGATACCATAACAGAAGGCAGGAGAAATCCTTCAAGAACTGCCAACTGACATAAAAAAATTAATGTACCTAGCCTTTCCAGACTGTGGTCAGGAAACTACAGATACACTAAGTCTTTAGCATTTCACAGATATTATCAGACATCCTGAAATTTAACAGTTTATCTAATTAGCAGACAAAGAACTGAAAAGTGCTCTATTCTATCCCATGAAAGTAAGAACTGCATAGAAATCCAGCAGAACAGACTTTCATTTTGTAAGGGCTGTTAACTGGGAAGAAGAATTGATACTTTTAAGGACGATGGAACTCACAGTGACTGGAGGTGACAGAAGCATTCAAGGCTCAAAGGAACCATAGGAATAAATTAAAAGGTTAGAGTTGCAACAGCCAAGGACACTTAGGAAGTGCTGTCCTATGCATAAAAGGACTTGTGTTCTAAAACTAGGTCAACGCAAATGCTCTACAGCATTTTATATCAAACCATGTTTAGTTATATTGTTTTCGCCCTCAATCAAGCCAGATGCGTAAAAACATTGTCCGTTTTCTGCACATTGCATAATTCTAGCATGCGTTGCAGCAGAGTTTTAAATGGAAAATCCAAAAGCTAATTTTCTTCATGGTTAGATTTTTTTTTTTTTTTTTAAATTGAGATAGAAGAAAAATGCTAGTCAAAGTGCTTGTAAAACTTTTGCTCAGTATAAAAAAGTGTTTATTCTGATGACACAAATCAAATGTGGGTTGAGAAGTTTAAAAGTTGAAATTTGAGCCTCAATGATAATACCATGTCACATAGAAGTCATACATAATTTGCAGTTTTTTTTTTTTTTTTCCCAAGGTGGTACCATAATTAATTCAGCGCAGCCAATGCGCACTAAAATGATAAACTGGAATTTTCTTAAAACAAACATGGAAAAGTCAGAGAATTTCATTCTTCTGTTTGAATAGCAACCATGTCTTCCTTTACAGGGTGTTGTCGTCCAGAGTTCAGATCTTTAATTTCTAGTAGATTTTGTATTTCTACATTTTAATTGCTTTCAGTTTTAATCTTGCATTCTGTGAAAAAATAGACTTAATTATTTAATTTACTCAATCCCCCCTCATTTGGATGAGTAACTCTTTTCACTACCGGATTGCTTCTTCGTCCTCTGAGTAAGTTTTACATTACGTTCTCAGTTTGTATTTTTGCATTTCTACTCTATTTCAGTTTAAGTTAGTAAAAAGTGTCTAATTAAATTCTTTTGCTTCATTTGAAATTGGAATTTTTACAGTGCCAGTGAGAACTTTAAAATTTTCACATCAACTGTTATAATTAAATACGTTAGAATAGTTAATCAGCTAATTTTGGATACAGAAATGCAGTGGTTTTCCAGTAGAAGGGGGACTTCAATTGACTCTGACGTATCCTCCTCTTGATCACATTACGTTAGGAGTGATTGAAAAACCTCTCTCTCTCTTTTTTTTTTTTTTTTTTTTTAAAGATTCCTGTATCTCTTTTTCCTGGATTTTATAATTTTTGGTTTTAGTTTTACACTTCTTTAATTCTTATTCTGAAAGCTCATAGAGTATTTTGAAATTTATTGGTAAGGAATTTCACTTGTTTTGGAGCTTAGCTTAAATTTCTTACTTTTGGTCCACACAGACACATACACAGAATGTAATATTTTTGAAGTGCAGTGGTTATGGCACAGTGGCAGGCTGGGAAGACGAACAGACAATGCTGACACAAAAATGAATTAGACCAATTCAAAATCTTTATTTCCATGCATATAAAATCATCTCAGTAGATTTTTATACAAACATAATGAAATCTGATACATTTCTATGATTCAATCATAATAAAATATGATAAATTTCTATGTAAATTGGCTTTTAAAAAAAATGACCTGGGCAAGTTAAGCAAAGGTAAAGTGATGCAATGTTGACAGAGCAGCAGTTAGGGAACGGAAGATTGATGCAATTACCTCGCAAGCGGTATTTATACTAAATCTGAGGTATAAGTAAAGCTAATCTGTGATTGGTTAATGTGAGGTTGCTGCACAACATACAATATTCTGAATTTGGGAGTACAGATGAATTTAGGGGGAGAGCACCAAACGTAGAATGTTAATTTTGAGGTCGCCGATTGTTTTTAAAGCAGCTATTGTACTTTGTTATATATTATATATATATATATATATATACACACACACACATATATATAATCCCCAATTTTACTATTAGAGTAGTTGTATTCCTCAAGAACTTTCAAATAAAGTATTTTCTGAACTAAGAAAACTTGCGTTTTTGCATAATAAATCGCCATTCTCTTCAGCAATCATCACTTGTATCACAAAATTAATTATGTCTAAATAAATTCCTTTTTTAATTACATGAAAGAATATAATAATATCCTTTAAAGTAATTGTTAGTGCATTTGAAATATTTCCATTCACTGAGAGTGCAATACATTTTAACAAAATTTCAGCACAAATTAGTTAAAATTTAATTTTAGATGCATAAAAACATATACTTACAAAGGAAATTAAATACAACACATTCCATCTATGTAATAAACAGTATCAGAAATGAAATTCTTTGATTTTTCAATGCAATGTATGAAATTTTTCAATGCAATGTATGAATTTTTCCACCATTATTTGTGATAAAATTACAGCAGCATCATAGTTTCCAAAAGTATGAAAGGTAAATCAGGAATGGAAGTTATTGTTTCCAAAATAGTGATGGGGGATCATGTATATCTATCCTATTAACTAACATATAATT